AGTCTCCATGCCAATATCTCTAACCCCTCGGGAAAGAAGTATTTCCCCATTGACTGCCCTTAAAGTTTTGCAACTGACGAATCACTGCTAGCGCGTGCAGCTTCTCTGGGACAGCCTACTGTTCTCACGCGCGGTTAGAGCCTTCAGGTTTGACAGCATGGCAGCGTCATCTTTCTGAGTGTCGCGCTGTCACTTCTCGAGCTTTGAGGCCAATCTGCGATAGCACAGCAGCATTTATCAAGCGTATTGCGGTTGGACCCTTAGGTTAGACCCTGGGGGAACCCTTGCAAGGGAAAATAATATTGAATATAGGGGGGATATACAATAATATATACTAATATACTGTAATAAACTATAATCTACTATAATCTACTATAATCTACTATAATATATTATAATATACTATCATATACTATAATATACTATAATAGACTACAGTAGGGAATCCTGTAAATCAGAATTTTCAGCCCTTGCTTTAACATGCGAGGCCACATGAAGCTCCGACCTGAAGGCCACGTGAAGTGGCTGTCTACCGGCTGCAAGCCGTTCTGCGTATCCTCACAGGCTTGTGCAGGGTTTAGGGTTTAGGGGTTTAGGGGTTTAGGGGTTTAGGGGTTGAGGGTTTAGGGTTTAGGGTTTTAGGGGGTTTAGGGTGCAGTACTTTGGGTATCTACGGCTTAGTGTTTGGAATCCGTCTGTCCACTGTACAAATCAAATAATCACCCCATTGGAACATGATACGACGCGGGGTGGGGGGGGGGCGTATTTATTGTTATAGGGATATAAATACCTGCTACCAATATGCACCCCGATGTAACCCTGCATACCCCTATGTAACCCTCTATGACCCTATATACCCCTATATCACCCTGTGTAAAACCTAAACCCTAAACCCTGTATGCCCCTTTGTAACCCTATATGAGGGTCCTCCTCGTAATCCAGGGAGCCGCTTTCGAGCACTGGCACTGCCTTGCATAACTTGCATAGAGGTCACTAACAATAGCAACAATAGTATTAAGACGCGCTTTAGGGTTTGGGGTTCTGGTTGCAATAATAAGAAGACCAATAGTAATCATTATTATAAGTAGCAATAGTAAGGTAATAATAGTAGTAATAAGAAAAGTCATAAGACCAATAGTAACACTGACAGCCATTGAGGGGGCCCTTAGAATGGGTTGTCAAGAGTTGCGACTGCAGCCAAGGACTTTCCACAACGAAATTCTCGTCTGCTTTCCCTGGCCAGGGACATCGAAACGCGGCGCCAGCCCTTGCCACGCTAAGCAAGGAGGCGTTCCCGAAATCTTGAGCGTTCTCAGGACTGGCGGTGGAAAAGTCCTAGACTAGCAAGGATGGGGTGGCAAGACGCTTTGAAACATACTGCAAGTCGACTAAGGATCCGTATCATAGGCAATGTTGTACATCAAAACTGCCACCCTCTGTGCTTTAAGCTTCAAAAACTTTGAGACTGTGAAACTGAAGATCGTTGTAGAGAGCGTGCAGGCTAAGGTGAGACACTCCCTCCTGGGAATTTGGTATGACTCATGGCCGTATCAATATCTGCCTTTGTCCCATGCGAGCACAACTGGTGACAGGCAATCAGCTGCCTCAGCCGCCATAGTTGTCGCTGATCATGGTATCCCTGACGATGGTCCATACTTTCAAGTATGCATTCTTGACCGGCTCCGTGAAATGGCGTGCAAGTGCCACTTCTAGCGTGGCAATGAAAGCCTGCCCCACCACGTCATAGTGCGCCTTCTCGACTCCATAACCCACATGCTTGAGGCCCAAGCCTTGAAGAATGGGCACTAGGGTGTCTAGGTCCTTGAGAAGTGATACAGCAGTGGCCACTGTTTCAACCACCTTCAGCGCATGCACTTCGAGTGGACTTCCGGGTCTCCACATGTGCGCATCGCCTTTGGCGAATGGGAACAACTCCACTGCACCCGGAGCAATCTTGAAAATGTTCATGAATAAGATACGCCCGATGGTGTTGGAGCCCAGCATCGCAACCCTTGGAGGCAGCTGGCTGCACAAAGGGGTTACTATTACTATTGTTATTACCATTATTACCATTATCATCACTTTTATTATTACTACTACTATTACCATTATGTTACTGCTATTACTACTATTACTAATATTACTAATATTACTATTATTACTATTAGTACTAATAATACTATTACTATTATTACTATTCTTATTGAATATCAAGCAACTCACAATTCCCCGGCCCTACCTTCTGGGAATGTGAGGCTCGGTGACATCGAAGAGCTGGGGGTTGAAACCACAACCAGACACAATGAGTTTACAGACCCCCTTAAGTAGATAGAATATGGGGCTTGGGGTTTAGAGTCCCCTTATGTAGATAAATAATGCGGTATTTGGGGATCTTATCATAATATACCCGGAACCATATTCTATCTACTTAAGGGGGACTATAACCTAGAACTAGACTGGGTTGCTGTCAAAGAACTTTACTTAAGTTACTAATTGGGAAAACCATGTTTATTACTACGCATACCCATTATGTTAGCTTAATTTAAGTTTCTTAACAGCAAGCTTAGAGGAACCCTGATGCACAAGCTCTTCCGTGCAACGGGAGCTCCATCTCCGGCTTTCCCGGATTGCCTACTTGCGGAGACCTCCCACTGTAAAGCAAATTCAGGAATATTCTGTAGCGTGTACGGATTGCTTAGTGGTACATCTGGGTTTGAGTAGATGATATACGGATAGATACCCCTATAATCAGTTTAGCTACCGGCTGTGTCTCTGGAAAGTAGAACACAGCCACCAACAGGCTTAAGCCAATTGCTTTACATTGATTCATTCTGACCATTGTGCTGTCGAATGAACATGCCAAAGGTTTCTGGTAAGAAGGGTGTCTGCGGGGATCTTGGGTAAAGAAGGGATTGGGTCCTCAAGGTTTGCGTAGGGATGACTTCTGAGAACCCCCACCTGATTATCTCAGAGCTCCATTTCTGTCAAGACGCCTCGCGAACGTCTGCTGCACCAACTCGATGTCCCGGGAATCCAGCGGAGCGTTGACATCAACTGGAGGGCTCTTCAAATCAAGGGTGATAGGCGTAGGGTGGTTTTCCCCCACGGCTGCCATGGCTTCTCTCTTGCCAACACGACAAGCTTGAGTCGAATGGCTGCGAGAGGGATGAAGTGAACATGATCCACGCAGGCAGCGACAAGGGCGGCAAAATAAGAGCGGTGGCAGTATCAGATCACATGATGATCCTCTTCCACGGTACGTTCTTAAAGCGGGATATAAGTATATAAGGGTTCCATAGCTATATATTATAGGATTTAGGGTGTAGAGTTTAGGGCTTCATAGGGCTTCTAGTCCCCCTTAAGTAGAATATGGCTTTGGGCACACTTTGTTCAGATCCCCATATACCCCATATTCTATCTACATAAGGGGGACTATAGGGTTTCCAAAGATAGCACAATCCTGCCACCCTGAGGCACGCACACGCTGCAGCTCATTGAGGAGCTCCGGGCTCCACTCCTCCTGCCTGAAAGGGGTTTAGGGTTTAGGGTTTAGGGTGCCTGACAAGGCTATACTTTGGGGGGGGTTTCCCAAAATTAGGGGTACCTTAATTTAAAAAGGGATCATGGAAAAGAAAGGGGTTTATAAGGATTAGGGTTGCCCAAAACTAGGGGTACCTTTTTGGGGTACCTTTTTGGGGGGTCCCAATATTAAGGATTATAATACTTTGGGCTTTATATTGGGGTTTATAAGATAGAGAGTTGAGTTTCCCAAAATTGAGGGTACCTTTTGGGGGTCACCAATACGAAGGATTATAATAATGTTGGCTTTATATTGGGGTTTTACGAGGATTTGGATTTCCCAAAATTAGGGATACTTTTTTGGGCGTCCCCAAAATTGAGGATTGTAATATATTGGGCTGTCTATTGGGGTTTAAAGGGATCTGGGTTTCTCAAAATTACGGGCACGGTTTTGTGTGGTCCCCAATATCGAGGAATATAATATATTGGGCTGTATATTAGGATTCTTCAGGGGTTAGGGTTTCCCAAAATTAGGGGTACCTTTTTGGGCATCCCCAATATTGAGGATTATAACACTTGGGGCTGTCTATTGGGGTGGGTCTCCAAATTAGGGATACCTTTTTGGGGATCTAGTATGTTGGGGTCTATAGTAGGGTACCCCATGTATGGAAACGACTGCTTAGTGGCCAGCACCTTCCTCTCTGTATATACATCTGCCTACTCTGCCAGCCAACTTGTTGGTACGAGTGGTGACTGCTGTGCCGGCGATGCTTCTGCTATACCGATACTACCTGAGTACCTGTCATCCCTAAACCCTGGAATTTCCATTTTCATTTCCACGATTGTCACCCCAATATATACCCTAATCCCTAAAACCCAATCCCTAATCCCTAAACCCTAAGCCCTAAGCCCTAAACCCTAAGCCCTAAACCCTAAATCCTAATCCCTGAACCCCAATCCCTGAATCCTAGTCCCTACTGCAGGATTGGCTCCCGCTCTGAGTAGCGCACAAAGACAAGCTCATCAAGGTACAAAAGCTGTCGCCATGCGATGCTCTGTGATACTGCTAGGTTATATTAGGGTTATATTAGGGATGTATTAGGGATATAGTTTATATTGGGGTTGTATTAGGGTGCGGTTTTGGGATATACTAGGTTTATTCGGTTTATATTAGGGTTATATTAGGGTGCGGTTTTTAGGTTGCGTTGGCGAATTATCGTTGCGTGCTGCAGCTGGGTGACTGTAGTGACTGCACTCTTGCGCTCCTACTGTCTTGGTACTTTTGCAACATAGCCTTGCTTGGCAACACCTCATGCTCACATGGAGAAGCAACACCGATCTTGGCCGAAGATCTACTCTAGTCACTCGTCCCTGCATCTGGGACCTCAAGGTCAGGCAGCATCACGAGCCGCAGAGAGAAGGAAACTCCAGCACAGCAGATTGGTACAATGTCTGCTGTATTTGTGTTGCAAGGCCCACTCCTTGCCACTAGCAGTACATAGAAAGTGCACCTTGGTGCTTCAAGTACCCCAGCCTTGGAAGTCCGTTGCAGACAAGCTCTGTAAGGCACCCACTGCAGGGACCAGTCCAAGGACCACGCACAACACCATGTGCTGAGCCAAGTCCTGGCACCATTCAGAAGACACATGAGTCAGCTTCTTTGAACAGGTACCCTTCGGGAACTTGAGTCCAACGATCCCCAGAATCGTGTGTTCTTACAATTTCTTGGATTCGACACAATCAACGATGCGACCCAAACTTCGCCGACTCCGGATTGTCGTGGTGTCCATGGCGAAGCAGCATGGGGCCTTCACCAAATCTGGCTTCAACAGAGGCCTGGCAGCTCAGCATGAACAGGGGTCCTGAAGAGACGTTGTGCAAGCTCTTGAGCAACTGCGCTTCCAGTTTTGCTCCGCACCTGGTCCGATTACTTCTTCAGCGCACAGACCACATAGAGCGGGTCTGTATTTGGGGGCGATGGATCTACAACCTCGGGATCGCCGAAGCAGCCCGCGAAGTGGAAGTAGCTCGCTGCAACCTCCGCCCGGTCATCCGGGTCCCCAACGCTCCAAATTGCGACCAGCTTGGACAGAAAGCAGCGGTTGGAGAAGGCTACAATGGCTAAGCCCCCAGGCCGGAGGACGCGACCGACCTCTGTGAAGACCTCCAGTGGCTTGGTCAAATAGTCCACGGAGACGGTGTTTGTAACGACATCAAACTCAGCATCCCCGTAAGGCAGCTTGGGAACCGAGTTCAGGTCCTGGACGCTCCAGTCCGTTGCTTGCACGTTGCGCTTCAGCTCCTCAGCATTCATCCCCGTGATGGCCAAGCGAGTAGGCTTCGGTTCCTTTGGATAATGTGAGACCCAAGATGAACAGATGTCCAAGGCATCAAAGGGCCGATCAGTCGGGAAAACTGCTGCGTAGAATCGTGTCAGAGCAGCCAGTGTCTGGTCTTCCAAATGCTTCACGAGCTTCGGCTCGGCATAGAACTCAGCGTCATCGCTGCTATCCAGGCGGAAAAAATCTCTGGCCGTGTATGGCCACTGCGCGGGATATACGGTCTTGTCCAGTGCATGAGCCACCATGGTGTCCGGGTTAGACCCCGGGATTGCAACCTCTTTGCCTCCGACAGTGTGTATAACAGATAGCTTGCCTTTCGCATTGGCAGCTCGAACTCCTTGGCCGGTTAAGCCCAGAAATGCACCTGCGGCAGCGCTGGTAAGGCAGAGCCAGTCCCGCCGATACCCACGTCCACAACTCGAATCCAACTCGGCCCTGATCCTGGGCTCTGCCTGCGGCAAAGTTGCTAGGCAAGGGCGCCCATGGCACTGGACTCCAGGAGAAATCATAGCACTGTAGTTCTGACAAACTATAGATACAACACAGTATAACTCACTATATTAACTTTGCTTCGCTTCACCAATGGATCAACACCAGGTTCATGGCAAGTCAAGGCCTGTCATCATGTCCAGCGGCACATAACATCTTCTTGCTGCAGCAAGTTGCAGCTGCTCTCAAATCATGGCAGCTGGGCACGGCCAGCGCAAGGGAAACAAATGCCGCGTAAGCGAGATAAAAACCGCGCAAGGCCTTCGCTATAAGCAGAGCAGCAGCAACATCCTCAGATCAAAGGCGACACACCTGAGGTCCATGCAGGATAGCAACGGTAGCCCAGGGCCTCCAGGTGTCCACGCCGACTGTAAATCTCGGAGGGCTGCAGGCATGCTTGGGCAGCGGCGATACCTGCGAAGTACCTCAGCATGGCACAACCTCACATCTGTCAAAGTGTAAGCGGATACCCTCCAGCCAATCAGCGCACGAAGCCGCGATCAGGACAACGATGCCTGTCAGATCCATCTTGTACCTAAGCACGACGCGCTAAGGCCAGAACAAAAATCTGGTTGAACGTTGACAGGCGCAGAAGATGTAGGGCTGCCGACGTGCAATCTCGGACACTAACGTGAGCACCTGTGTGCTGAGCACACGTTAATCCAACACTTCGGGGTTGGTGGTGAATTGGGAGTCATTTCATTCCACCTGAACAGCCAAGGGCAGGACAGGAACAGAGGTGAAAGATGACGGAGCAAATGCAGCAGTATGCACTGGCCACCTCAAGACCGAGGTTCACCATCGTCATGAACAAGCCAGTCAAAGACATCTTCACACATGGTCACGCAAGTCGTGAGTGAGCGGTGACAAATGACTAGTGATAATGATGAAGAATGCTGAATTGTGGGAGGGCCTTGTTGGGTGCTCTACACCCGGCACTATCTACGGGAACAGTGAAAGCCCACCAGAATTGTCATTTAGGTTCTCCTGGTACCAGGAAGCAAGTACCTTGAAAGCTCAAGGACAAAACCTATAAGCCTATAAGCCACAATCTCCCTTCAATCCCTATACATCCGCCATATATCCCCATATGACCCCCAGAACCTAAACCCCTAAACCTCTAAACCCTAAACCCTCAAACCCTAAATCCCTTAGCCCTAAAACCCTTAACCCCGCAGGGATGGGCCCAGTGGCAACCAGGAGAAGTATCCAAATTGCGGCTGCCTGTCCAAATTTGGTTTCATAGGATATAGGGGTTATGTAGGGGTTACATAGGGGTTATACATGGGTTATGCAGGGGTTATATACGAGTTATATAGGGTTCAGGAATATTACCCCGAATTATGGGGTGTGAGGGTTAAAGGGTCTTAGGAACCTTGGTTTCTCAACAGGGGGATCTTTAGGGATGCTGGGATATGTGAGCCATAGTCTAAACTCCTAGCATCCCCCTTAGGCTCCCCTATAATGCTGCCCTATATAACCCCCTTTAAGGAGTTTGGACTATAGCTCATGTGGAAGTACAAAGGGATGGTGGGATCCTTGAGGGCTTCACCTGCTGACTCGCGGCATCACGGCGACATTTTACCAAGCACCATGCCAGGCAAAGGGTATATCAACAATTGCAATAAGTCACCTAGTCGTAAACAATTCACATCAGCGCGCGTTCAACACGAAGTGTTTGTGACACTTTGGTCAGGTACGGCGAAAGAGCACATACAGTCAACCCTGAACCTGATGAAGCAACGATCACAGAGCAAGCATGAAAATCTATGAAGATGTCTAGCTGTATGCGGCTCTTGCCCGCACTTGGTCTTATGCTCCAGCGACTCGCGTTGCGCGAGTGCAACCAAGCAGCCACGTAAGGAATATCCTGAGCAGTCTTTCTTCCTGCTGGATTTCCCACAAGCAGGTAAAACGCTTCCCAAGAAACGAAAGCATTTATTGCGGATTCATTGCAGTCGGCTTGTCCCGCTGGAGATATTCAATAGGAGGAAGCCTTGCCAAGAAAGCAGACGAGGCGAGCAGCACAGAAATGTCAGCTTAGACAATGCATGCGTTTCTAACTCCAACGCCAAGCAACTCGCAAAATGTGAGAGCATCATGAAGTGGACAATGTGGCCAGCAGCAGCAAGTCCTCTCCAAAACCCTATATAACCCCATTATAGTAGTTTCCATCTGCTGTTCCATTATCCCAATATAACCCCAATATATTAGACCAAGCTTGCAGACGGCTTGCTTCCTCTTGTGATTTTGCAACACATGGCTCCTGACAAGTGCTTTATTTTCCAAGCGGTGACCAAATCTTCAAAGATATAGAAACCTCGCAGACGCGTCATAGAGGGCTCCACATGTAAGAAAGCCCCTCTAGATGAAAGTAGGAGCTCCGGGGGTTTCGTGCCTGGCCTGCTACGCAACTTGAACACTATGTTTGAAAGCTTCTATGCCACCTACATTGGGAAGGCCGGCTTCTGGGGTAGGTCACAGGCAGCTTGTTGCCGCAGGTGACTTGCTGGGATAGTTTTTTTTTGCCAGACACGCCAGAGACACGCGCAGGATGTGGAATCTTGCGTCTCAACTCAAGTACTCTTTTCGGTTCAGGGGTTGGCAAGCCCAGGCTACCAGACTCTGTGTCAGAGCAAAGCATCAACCTTGCACATGCCTTCACATGTGCTTGTCTCCTTCAAACACGTGGCCACAAGGTGGGCAAGGGCGTTGCATTCCAGTGCTTAGGATGGGAGCATCCGCAAGACACACCACAGGATACAAGCAGCTAGCAGAGAATCACTTCTTTGCAGGCAAGATGCCCACCAAGAATACCTCAGCGTTAGCAAGCGGCTCCAAATGCAAAGCCGACCATGCACTTCTCAATGTCCGAAATTGATCGCCCCTAATATGTTCCCATTATTGATCGTGATTGCATGCGCCACATGCTCCCTGAACTCATGCTTGCAGGCAGGACGCGAAGAAGAACGTTGCTTGTCGCTGCAGGTCAACACCACCTGTCCGAGTCACCTTGGCATTGTCATACGCAAATCCTGCTACAGTGCCAATCGCCAATTGTATTCACCGTCAAGCCCAGCAACATCGTCATGCTTCTTTGTCGACTGGTGCACCAGCCTGTGAGTCAGTGAGGCTTTAAGATCCGCTAGCGCCAGCAGTGGAAGACTTCAGTTCCTGTATGTTACCGTCGAGGATCCACACTGCAGGAACGAAGCCAACAACTTCGATGTAGCTCGAAGCGGTAAAGATCGTGTGCTCGAGGAGGAGGTACGGCCTCATCTAGGTCTGGTACAATGTGCCGGCATATGGGAGGTTCTCACACATTGGGGGTTATGGTACACAGTATGTCTGGGGATGGATAGCCGGGACCAGATTTTCCGAAACTCCTGCATCCTAGGATATGGGTGGTTGTCAAAAT